CCTCAGCAGGATGCTTTCTGTTCTTGAAGAAAGCTAGAGACTTTTCCTCCATTTCCCTGACCATCGATCAGGAGGGGCGCTTCATTTCCTGTGACTTAAAGTATGACGGCGAGGATTGGCGGTTTATGTGTGTGTATGCCCCTAACACAGTATCGGCGAGGAATGTGTTTTTTTCTTTCGTTGCTCATCATTTGGTAACAGACAGGAATATTATTCTTCTTGGAGATTTCAACTGTGTATGCAATATCCGAGATCGGGCGCAGCCGACGTCAAGGTATGATTCAAGCGCAACTGTGCTGGGATCAATCGTTGCAGACAACAATCTTGTAGACATTGGTGACCACAGAAATGGAGACTTGCATTACACACACTTTCAAAATTCAGCACATGCTCGCCTTGACAGAATTTACGTTCGCGGAGAATTATTCGCTAAAATTAGTGATTATAATGTAAAACCTATTTTCTTTTCTGATCACTGTCTGGTGTCAACATGTATTGGGGAGAGAAAACTGTCATCTTTTCGCCCCCAATAGAAACTTTGGAAATTTAATGTCACACTCTTATCAGAGAAACGTTTCTCTATTCGCATTCCGGATATTCTCTCATCTGTGCTATGTCTCCCGATGCTTTCCATCTTTGCTAAGTGGGATATGTTTAAACAAGACGTAAAGAACTGGGCTATAGAGTATTCTAGTCTTCTTGCGTTTGAACGGAAGGAAGACCGACGAAGACTACTTAACACACTTACTACATTATATGAGCTCGAATCTTTGCGTCCAGGAACTTGCACAGAGGACATTAATATAACCAAAGCACAGCTACAGCGATATGATGCAGAGAAGTACAGAGGAGCAGTCATTCGTTCGCGATCGGAGAGATTTCTGCTAAAGGAACCCCCTTCGCGGCGATTTTTAAATGACGAAAGACAGTACGCGCTATCAAAACAAATCCTAGCGATTGACCACAAGGACACTACCGTGTCTGACACCCCCGGCATCTTAGACGTCTTTCTTGAACATTACAACAACCTCTTCGGTAAAATAATATCAGCAGGAGACGAGAGAGGCGTAGAAGAGTTGCTTTCACTTTTACCAGTCTTATCAGAGGAAGAAAGAACTATGATAGACGGTGACCTAACATTAGAAGAAGTGCGAAATGCCATAAACGCACTACCCGCGAACAAGACACCTGGTCCTGATGGTCTGGGTGCAGAGTTCTATAAAACATTTATTGACTTATTAGCTCCAGTGCTGCTCGATGTATTCCGCGTCGGATATAAAGAAAAAATGCTTCCGCCTACCTTTTACCAAGGTCACACTGTCTTAATACCAAAGAGCAAAGACGAAGCAGTGTTGAGAAAAGCTGCAGGCTACAGACCAATATCATTATGTAACGTTGACTACAAAATATTTGCAAAATTACTCACCGAAAGAATTCACGTGGTAGCTCACAACTTAATTGGAGAACACCAGACTTGCGGAATACGGGAGAGAACGATTCAGACTAATGTGCACATTGCCAGGTCTGTACTCGACTGTGTGACTGAAGGCAATGACCAAGTTGCATTAGTACAAATCGATCTTTCAAAGGCTTTTGATAGAGTCAGCCATTCATTTTTGTTTCAAGTCCTTGCCCACCTCAATATCGGAGACACCATCCTCTCCGGCGTTAAATTATGTTATAAGGACTGCTCCACCAGGATCATAGTTAATAACACTCTCTCCGAACCGATTGCTATTAGGTCTTCAGTAAGACAAGGATGTCCTCTATCTCCACTTCTATTTGCCTTATACTTGGAACCGCTTTGCCTGAGCGTGCTGACAAACCTCAATATTCGTGGGTACCAATATTGTTTCTCCGAAGTGAAGTTGTTGGCTTATGCCGACGACGTTGCCTTTTTTTGTGCCGACAAAGACAGTGTAGAAGAAGCTCTACGCGTAACACAGAAATTTTGCACAGTCACCGGTGCGTCGGTCAATAATGATAAGTCCAGCGGATTTTGGCTAGGCATGTGGGGAACCACACCATCCAAATTTGCAGGGATCCACTGGAATCAGCCATCAATAAAATACCTTGGCGTACCCCTAGATCAGGCCAGGAACAGTGGGCCCTATTGGACATCAGTTGCCACAAACATTAAACGGAAAATAGATGCCTGGAGGGTGCGAAATCTATCCATCTTTACTAAGGCTGCCGTGTGCAATATTTTCCTTACGTCTAAACTTATGTACGTGTTACAAGTCCTCCACTGTGCCCGCCCACGTATACAAGCGTTCCATCGACTTTTCGCGACTTTCATTTGGAGTTCCTCGTGGGAACGGATGAGACGAGACAATTTATTCCTCCCCCTTGAGTGTGGAGGGTTGGGTCTTGCTCACTTATTTGTCCGTCAACTTGTATCTAGATTATTCTTCTTTAGGAATATCAGACACCCGCTACTGGCCTCGCTAGTTCAGACGAAGCTTGCGCCGCATTTGCCCTTTTTGATTGTTTCAACGACGGATGACGTTTCGTGTGTTCTAAGAGGATTTTGGAAAGAAGTTGTAGACACGCTGTTGTTTTTAAATGTCCGGTTTTCTTTGGAATACTTGTTTAGTGTTTCTAGAAAATGTTTGTCTCAGGCCTTAGTTGAAAATTTTTTCACACTACCGATTTATAGATCAAGGTTTAAAGACAGCCCTGGACAGGATGTTTTGAAAAGAGTTAAAAAGATGTGTGTATCGCCTACTGCAAAAACATTTTTCTTTCAATTACACACTTCCACACTTCCGGTTAAAGCGTGGCTACAGGAAAGAGGGTTTTTCGTTCCATGGTCTATTAACTGTCGATTATGCAACAAACCGGAAACCATTAAGCACTGCTTCATATACTGTAATGACGCAGTGTATTTTTGGGACGTTCTCCAACGAACACTGAAAAAGGATATCGACTTCACCGACCACAGTATACGATTTCTCCCCGTTGAACAACATGAAGTTGTCCCTTACGATTTATTTATGCTTCTTGGGCTGCATAGTTTGTGGAAGTGCCGGATGATCGACAGAAATGCCGAACAGCCCCGTACGACCAGATCGCTTTTCATTGAAGAAGTAGCCAAAGTGCGGAGTGTGTACGAGGCCCGCCCACCGGTGCCAGATTGGTTTAGCCTCTTTGACGCGTGCTTAAACCTACCGCACTTTTAGATTGTGTAGATATGTAAATATTGCTGTTTAAGCGTTGGGTGAATGGTAAATTCTAGCCAATGTAACCTTTTGCTTTGTACAGAACTAGTAAAGATGTGTGTTTGTCGCCCCACGTGATTCACGTGCGCGTGTGTGAGATTCTGGTGACTGGTGGCCTGTGCCTGTGCTCCATTGGTTAGCGTGTGTGGGTGGGACTCTACGTGCCATGGCGTGTGAGGTGGACTGTGACTTTTGGACCTTTTGTGTTGTTTGCGTGTGTACTGTTGGACTTGGCTGAATAGCTATTAGTAAATTTCCATTTATTAAAGAAAAAAAAAAAAAAAGGATCGGTGGCCGAGTGGTTTAGCGCACACCAGCTCGGAGCACGTGGAGCGAAAGCTCGCGCTGCAGAACCCAGGGATCCTGGGTTCGAGCCCCACCCCTGCCCGTTTCGATCTGGATGAGCATCGTACCGGCGTGCGGTCGTGTATCACTACTGCGTGATGCACGTTAAAGACCCCAGGCTAGCGGCTGTACCGCACTGGCTAAATTTCTCATCTACAGCTGGGAGACTCGTCGCCCCTGTGAGGCAGACCAAGTTCTAGGCTGTATAAACACACACACAACCCAATTATTATTATTATTATTAGGATAGGCACCAGGCCACGTGGCCCCTTGTTCTGGCTTCGGGTTGAGAGAATAAACGATGCTAACATACTTCGATTTTTTTTTCCGACTGCCATTGCCTAGAGAGAAAAACTAAGGCAAGTTTATTCAGTAATTAACGTTAGGGAGTGATTCTAAGTTGTATATCATAGCGCAAGTAGAAAAATCGTTTCAGGGCTCCTGTAATTCCTGGGTTTTGCAGCGCTAGCTTTCGCTACACGTCCTCCGTGCTGCAGCTTACTGACTACTCGGCCACCGATCCATGGATACGAGTAGTGTAAAGAGAAAAAAACTTCAACATTGAAACACTTCTTAAAACACGAGAAAGGCGAGAAAACAGCAGTAATAAACCCTAAAAACTATATCTGCATAAACCTTGCGGACACTTTTTGGGGACACTTGAGGACACTTTAGGTCAAATAGCCCGATTCAGAAATCAAACGATACCTTTGTTTATTGACTCTTATGACATCATGTTCATAAAATTAACACTAAATACGTGCCAAACACTATAACACATGGCTGAGTACACATAACCCAGGATCACTCAGATAGACACAGGGGATCCTGTGGGTTCGATCTCTATCCCAGCACCTGTTTCGATCTGGATGAGCATCGTACCGACGCGCAGTCGTGTATCGGCATACTACATGATGCACTTTAAGTGCCTCCCTCCAGCTAGCGGTGGTACTGCACTGCCAAAATTTCCCATTTGCAGCTAAAACACCACATGAACATTGGGGCTGACTAAGGTTTCGCTGTCAAAACATACACACAACACTGTAACGCAGTGTGAGCTCGGCGACTGCAAAGCGTAGCGAATTACTCGTAATACGAAGGCGGGCTTTGTGTACCACCAGAACCCGCAAGCGACAGCGGTGGGCACAGTAAGGTAAAGAGGGAGGAGCGCGAGGGACTTGCTACAAAAGGAAAGAAACAGACCCAGCAACAACAGAAGCCAGTCATCCTTGCACAGAGGCCAACGGGCTGTTTATACAGGGCAGCTCACGGATAATTTGTTCGGTGCTGTGCGTCTCTGGGGAATGCCGAAGAGACAGCTACTTCTTTTTTTTATAGGGATGCTCTACTGCCGCGGCTCTGTAGCATTCTTGCAAGTATACATACGCAGACTGCGGATTCGACATATCGGAGCTTTTCTGGAACGGAACGGAATCACCACGCCTGGCGAACAGGGTGCCGAGTCATGCGAGGGCGCAAAGGGCGGAAGTGGGCGACCACGTGACTGACTGCGGAAGTCAGCAAACTGAGAACGACTCCGATCGCCCAGATGACGAAACAGGGCTGGAGGTCACTCAGTCCCAGCGCTGCGTCTCCGGTCTCCGAGGGACGGCCGTACTTGAATTCCCGCCTAACCCTACTCTTGAATTCCGCCATTTCTTCCGCTCGATCAAACAGACCGGCTACAAAAGCACGGCCGAGGAGTTTGTTCATGGACCTGTAGTATGCCGAATTTGATTTTATCTGAGGTCCCGTTATTATGGGTGACAGAAGCGTGTTCATTCGAACGAAGCCGACGCGAAAGAGCTCGTCTTTGAGGCTGCCAGCCTGGTCGGAGCTAGGCCTGAACACGAACACGACTTCCGTACCATTTCCTACACGCAGCATTCCCGATCCGTCCCAGCAATCAAAATTCGGTTTCTTGGCCCACCGAGGACTAACCCTCACCTGCTCTGCTTCTGGAAAGTTAACTAGGCAAGCAGCGAAGCCCAGATTCTTAAGGTCATTCAAGGACGCGTACTGGGGAAGCTCTCCGCTCAGCGGTATGTTACAGAACAGCGAGGTGATGACTCCCTTGTACCCTGTGGTCAGTACTGTTACCATCAGGTACCATACCCCGAAAAAAATCCTCAACGAGTGAGCATTTAAAGCGTCCGGAGGCACGGGGTACGCCTGCTGAACCAGGGACGCCGCTAGAAGGGCAGCTACGGCGTGGAAATCGCACGCAGTTTGAAGGACTTTTTGGGCAAAGAAACAGATCAACAAAAAGATAATGAAGCAAGCCAAAAGAGTCACCCATACAAAGGAATCAAATGGCAAGAAGAGGACAGCTTCTTTCGGTAATGGCTGCAGCGCTTTAACAAACGTTGCGAATCCCGCTCTGTCGAAATGAGACAGCGTCGATATTGTTGGAAAGAAGAGATCCTGCTTAAAAACAAAGGGATAATAAACGAGCGTCCCTGAATCCACCATGTTTTTACCGACGTAATACTTCAAGGCTTCGATAGTACTCACTTGGAAAATTTTGAGGGAGCAGTTTTCGTGAAGCAAACTTTCGGTTAGCATGCTAAACGATGGACTTCGGCAAATCAACGGCTCCAAACACGCGATGGTGATTTCACGTCCTCGAATAGGCATGTGTCTCGTTAGTCCAACGGAGAAGTCACGTGTGGCATCTGGCGTGCAGTTTAGGCACCTGACGTCGTAACTTCCTGCCATCAGTATCTGCTCATCGCGCACTACAATGTGAAAATCCCCCCCGTTGCGAATCTTTTCAAAGTCGTCCTTCCCCGCAACAGCAGATTGAAAAAAGTTAAGATTAAATTCGTTCAAATTGCAAGTTACTATACTCAGAGTCGACCAATACGGATGCGGAAGCGATGGATTCGCTGTTCTACAAAATAAGTGCAGCGCCACGTGTCGACTTTCCATGGTGCTACAGTTATAATGGCAGTAGCCAGTAATTTTGTTACGGATTTTTTGTGAAGTCGGTAGCTCCTTTAGGAGCTGTGTCAGCACACGGATTTCTTCTACTCCAAACTCTGGCGGTAATATGATGTCCAGGCACGACGAGCTGGCCGTATGGAGAAGAAGCTCCCGAAAGCCACGAGAATCCACGATGTTTTTCCAGAACGGACATCCTTCGAGCGTGGTGGTCGGCGTCGTGGTGACTTTGACGTGGAGCAGGAGAAATGTGGACAGGGTTATCAAAGTAGAACGCATAACGCGGTAAGATCGACAGATGTTCAGGTTCAATAGTGCGTTCAGTGGCTGGATAATCCGCTTTACTCAAAGGTCACTTTTGGTGACCTCTCTCTTCCGAGATGAAACTCGCAGTGACACGAACCGGGCTCCTGTGAACAGTGTGACGCGTTGCCCCCGCACTGCCTATGAAACGTAGTGTGTTTCTTCAGGATACCTTAGTTACCGTAATGTCAGACGTGCCGTGCACTGTTCTATTAACACTTTCATTCCGCGTGGCACAAACACTATTAATGCATTGTGTGAGTTACTTTACCAATAAAGGCAAGATGGGCTTACTTAGAGTTCGCTTCACTTGTTTCGATGAAGAAATAATGTTTTGAACACCTTCCTGATGACATCTAAACACGGCATTTAAAATGAGCCAAAGTAAAGTGGAGAGAAAAGTGATTTGTGCACGGACACTTAAAGCGAAACAAACCGCAGATGAGTTGTGGTAGAGAGACAGGTTACGCCCATGCCACACGGCGAAATGTAAGACGTTTCGATCGAATGACTTTAAATTAAGTGGCCTGTGAATCAGCTCACGATCTCGACTACGAGTGTCATGCGTGGTCCACGCTGCACCAGGAATGGCGCGTGATGATTGGCCGATCAGATAATAGAGAGCTCGCCTAAAATTCTTTTATGTGCTAAAAAGTGGTGTTTTCAATTTTAATACTGACCCTTACGTAGTTGCTCGGTAAAATAGGCCTCTCAGAGGCAACCACTTAAACCAATACCAACTAGATACGGAAAATAATGATACATATAAATACTTTTTTTTTGCAAGAACTATGTGAGACTGGAACAACCTACCTCAAGAATTAACAACAAAAAATACTCAAATTTTTCTTGAAAAAGGCCTATTGAACCTTTTTGATAAAAACTAATCTGTCACTAGTGTTTCATATTCAAGTAAAATCATTGGATTTCTTCTTTTTTTTTCTGTGTGGTGATATAGTGTGAATCCCAGTTTTGTGACTTTCTGTAGATTTTTCAATTCAGTGTCGAGCGCTGTGTATTTCTATAAGTGTATCGAACACCTGTCCCACTTTTTTTCGTGCGTGTAGGGAAATTTAAGACCTTGAGTGTTTTGAGCAACAGCTGGCTCTCGAAAGTCTCGTCAAACATCTTGCGGTATTTCTTACTCAATATGTCGCGTGCTACGCTGAACACCATTTGAGCTGAGGCACTGGATGGGAGTGCCAAATTGTTCCTCACGAATGTTTTATGCTCTGCGTTGAGCTTTTTCAGTGAAGCAAGGGAAGTACTATTTACCTCGAAGATAGAACAAAGCTTCGTCGTTGCAGCCGTTGCCTGATATTCGAGAGGTTTAGTAGATCCCTCCGATACCTCCGATACCCGCGATAACGATATGATGGATGTGCAAAGACGGCGGCGAAGTATCGGATATCGTTATCGGAGTCATCGGACCGAGCTACTAAAATTCACCATTGTTTAAATCGCGAAGCTGTGGAAGTCATCAATAGCAAAACAGAGTTTGTAACAGTGAGGTGATAATTAAATAATAAATAAGGTTTGGCTCAATATTCTTCTTCCTTTGGTTCTGAACAGTTTGAGCCCCACTTGAGACGTTGGTGAATAAAAAAAGTTTCCAGTATATCAATATAAGTAGGGTTCGGAGTTTTCGGTTTAAACCGATAAAAACCGATAAAAGTACGCCGAATCAATTTTCGGAAATTCGGTTTTAACCGAAAAAGGTCAGTTTTTAGGTTCGGCACTTCCAAATTAAACCAATAAAAACCGATAAAAGTATGTCGATTTCATTTTTTTAAAATTCAGTTTTAACCGGAAAAGGTCACTTTGACCTTCATTCGTACCGCAGAGCCGTGGCGAAAGAGTGGAACGCCTGTGTCTATCGAAACGAGTCCGAATGTATGGGATACATAGATGCCATCACGACGTTTTGGTTTAAAGTACGCATCATCAATCGAAACGTGATGTGCGAAATGCCCCATGACTCCGCCATGGATGCAGGAATTTCCTGAGGGGGGGGGGGGTGTCAGGTGTTGGTCAGCTGTTGGTCAGCTTAGCATATGTTTAGGAACCCCCCCTTCCCCCCTCTTCTTCGTTTTACGCCCTTACTTTTACATATGCAGAAATCAAGAGGGGGGTCAGAACATCCGGACCCCCCCACCCCCCCTCCAAATCCGCCCCTGTGTACGAGCATGTTTTTAAACTCGTTGTAAGGAAGACTGACTTGATGCAAGCTCTGCATGTGGTGTCGTGCTTCAGAACGTCGCACCGTGTCTCTTTTGGTGGTCACAATTAGTTGATTAATCGGCCGATCTTGGCTCAGGCAGCGCTCCATCTCATCAGCCTGCGCGTGTCCAGTGCTAGCCTTGAGAGAGCATTTTCGAAGCTCAGGGTCATATTAACAGTAAATAAAGAGTGCGAATCAACGAGAACATGCGAAAGTACGTGTGTGTGTACTATAATAAGATCACGTAATCCGGATGTGCAGAAGGTATAAAGTTCCATATTTTTTGGGCATAGGCTTCATATAGAACTTATCTGTACTTCTTTGTTTTTTTTTTTCTTTTACAGTTGCACACATTTGCCAAATAAAGTGTCAATTTCTTTTTCAATGCATCTGTGCCGCTATTCTTTGAGTGATCACAAATATCAGAGCTACAAGGATCATCATATCCGGTGTACGTTGGTGGTTATTTCATACTCACCGAAAAAAGCCGATAAAATTTTGTGGAAATAAATATACGCCGAAAAAAACCGAAAATATGATTTTAAAGTAAACACCAAAAAAAGTACACCGAATTTTGAAAATATAGAAACCGAAAACGCGGAACCCTAAATATAAGTAATAGAAGGAAAAGAAGGACACTCATAACAACAATAGAGAGTTTTCGTAGATCGTTTTCGCCGTCCCGCAAGGCCCTCCGCAACCCGCTACGATAGCGGGAACTCCACAGTCAAGGCTATCGGCGCGCAGGCGCAGTAGCAACTTCTTCGTTGCGGAACGCTTAGCGGAGGGGGCAACGCGGTCTACGAAAACTCCCTATTTAATAGGACGTCGGTTAAAACAAGGAAATGTATACGCACGTTTCCCGTGTGCACCTTTCTTGGTGCAGTTCAAAAATGCACAGAGCACGAACCAACTGCAATTTATTCCGGTGTTCTCCAGATAGACGTCCGCTAATGCCACGAGCAGCGAAGGGCAGAGAAGTAAGCTGCGCTATCGTCCCAATCACGAGTTTCACTCTCTCCTCAAGCCCAGAATATCAAGTCTACGTCAGCCACCATTATGTTTTATTTGTAAAAACATCTGCTTGAGATGAGATGCGTCCTGCTGGGGCAAAACCGGAAGAAGAAGAAAGGAAGACTATTACCATTTTCTAAATGCTCGCAAAAAGCTGACTCACAAAAAGGGTAGGGTAGACGGAGCGTTGTCTCGTGTGGTGACATTATGAAAACGGTCGTAGTCACTATAACCGGGAAGGACATTGTTAATCCTTTTCAGTGCACTTACCACCACGAGCTTCCCGAAGAGGCACACAATAACTTGGTGTCCTCCTCTCCCCGTCTTCGATCGCAAAAAAAAAAACAATGGGACAAAAAAAAAAAGCGGAAATAACCTGCAACCCCCCCCCCCCCCCCCCTTTTTTTGTAGAAATGTTCATTTGGATTTTTTGACATTGTTGTTAGGGTCTAAAAAAAATAGATTCAGGGACTTGGTGTAGCAAAAAAAAAAAAAAAAGGCTTTGCGGAACTGAAGAGCGCCAAGCCTCCCTTTGCGCTGGTCAATGGACTACTTCCAAAACCGACGCGCCCCAATGCGGCGAAATACCGCGCAATGCACTCTGGGAACTAGTTGGCCACTC